GGAAGCAGGAACAGATACTGAAGCCAAGCCCCCTCTTCCTCCTTTTACCTATTTATTTTTTTATTATTTTCTTAAATTGAGGTAATACTGACATAAGTTTCATATGTACAACATTATATTTCTACATCTGTATACCCTACAGTGTGCTCACCACTAAGAATTTATTTTCCATCTGTCACCCTATAGTTTATCCTCTTCATCCATTTCGCACCCTCTCCACCTCCCCTTCCGCTCTGGTAAACACTACTCTGTCCTCTGTATCTATCGATTCATGTTGGTTTGGTTTGTTCATTTCTTTTGTTTTTGTTTGTTTATAAGTTTTCTATGTGCCACATATGAGTGAAATCATATGGTATTTGTCTTTCTCTGTCTGATTTACTTCACTGAACATAATACCCTCAACGTCCACTCATGTTGTCGCAAATGGCAAGATTTCATCTTTTCTTCTGGCTGAGTAGGATTTCACTGTATACATCCCTCCATGAGGCAGCATCATGCCCATCTCACGGGAGGGCACACTGAGGCTCTGAGATGTAAATGCCAAAGCCCTGAGCTAGGAAGAAGCCGACCTGACCCAGGCCCTCTGCTTTCCCATGAGGCAATCGGAGTTCCAGCTGAAGCCTCAGTATGGGCGCCTGGCCCTACATGGTGACCCCAGAGATGAGGTTCTTCATGTGAGTGAGCTGCTCCTGGGCCTGGGGCCCCCAGGGAGGAAGAAGCCAGGCCCTTGTCAAGTGCCTGCCCCTGCAGGTATGGGTCGGGCCCCAGGCAGCACCACTTTCAGGAAGAGCCAGGGTTCAGAGAGCTGGTCCAGTGGACCTGTGCCCACCCCACCAAGCTCACCTTGTGCCCTCTCCCCCTCACTCCCTCCACTGCAGTCACATCGGCCTAGGTGATCCCCAGACAGGCCTTCATTCCCACCAGTGAGGCTTTGCACCTGCAGTCCCCTCTGCCCGAAGCACTGTCCCCTCCACACCTTGGCACACTGGCTTCTTCTCTTTGTCACCTCTTCAGAGGAGCCCTCCCAGGCTTCCTCCATCACACCTCCTGCTTTATTCCCTTCAGAGCCCTGATCAGTCTCTGAAATGACCTCAAATTTCTGATTCCCTCACTACAATATAGACTCCATGAGAACAGAGGGGTTTTTTTTTTTTCTGTTTTATTCACTGCTGTATTTCCAGGACTCAGTAGAATACAATGGTGCTCAACAAATATTTGTTGATGTAATAAGGAAGTTTTTGAAAATAAGAATAATTTGTGTCATGAGGAGAGGGGTGGGTGGATGTTCGTGGGGGTCGGGGGGTGGGGGGGATGTCTCCCAAAGGACTGAATTGAATAATTTCTCCAGGGTCTTAAACAGTCCTCAGGAGCTTTGACATCACAACAACAATAACAGTGTTTGTCAGGCACTAACTGTGCTCGGCACCAGGCACAGATCATCTCACTTAATCCCGCACTGGCCCCATGAGGTCAGTCCTATGATTATCCCCATTCTCCAGATAAGGAAACTGTAGTTTAGAGAAGTGAAGGGACGCGTTCAAGGTTGTCACCAGCCACCACCACATCCGACCTCCTGCCCTCCGGAGCCTCCAGGTCTCCTAGAGACAACCCCACCCCTTGATTCCCAGTGCAGCCTAGAGAGGTCCTGTGTCCTGCCTGACGCCCCCCAGCTGGTCAGCGGCCCAGAGGGATGATCCCTGGCTCCCCGGCAGCCACTCGGCCCATCGGGAGGGAAGGCAGGCTTGGCGGCTGTCCTGTCCTGGGGACACCGGGTAGCCAGGAGTTTCTCTCCCCGGACTTACTGTACATGATTCATCGCCAGCCCCAGTTGTGAAATCTGGGAATCTTGTGGGCAAGGCCAGGCCCAGGGGATGGCTGTCTGGGAAAGGGAGGCCGGGAAGGGGTTAAGGGGGGCAGTCCCCCCCCCGCCCGGAGGCACGGGGCCAGGCCAGCAGAAAGCACACCGTTAACACTGGTCTGGCTACCGCCTGCGGCCTGTCTCTGACATCACAGCTGCGTCAGCCCAGCCTGCCCCAGCCCCCCACTTCCTTCCCTCCCTCAGCTGCATCTCCAGCCACCTCTCCAGCTTCACTGTCCTCTCCTGAGAAGCAGGCAGCACCCAACCTTCCCTCCCGGGAGGGAGGGCGTGGGCAGGGAGAGGGAGATGACAGACATTACTCTGCATACAGGAGGCACTTCATAAGTGACAGCTGTGATGGGTTTGAGCCAAACCATAATCCCATAATGAGCTAGACAAGGCAGGAAAGAAGGTCTCATACCCATTGTAGAGAGGAGACCGAGGGTCCGAGAAGAGTAGGGACTCGCCCAAGGTCACCCAGCTGCCCAGTCATAATGACTTGAAATGTTAATATAATCATGCTGCTCTTCCTCTGCTTTTTACTAGAAGCATGTGTATCTCTCATCACCCATCGGGGTGCGGTGAATGTCCAGAGGCTAGGAATTTTCTTCCTTATCTCATTTGTTTTGTTAAATTCAATTAAACCAAATGGGCATTTGTTTGGATAGAGAGATGATAAAAGGGTTTCACAGGAACTATTCACAGATCAGTGATGACTTATGGTATTGTATTAAATGAATTCTACACTTGAAATCTTAAAAAAAAGTTACCGAGTACAGATTCTGCTCTAGACACCATTTACACATATTAGACTCACTTACACTTAAACCTTATGGAAACTCCATGAGGGCAGCAGTGCTACTACTCATCTCACGGAGAAGAAAACTAAGGCACAGGGAGTCCCCACAGCTGGTAAACAGCAGTAATGATAATAATAACAACAAAAACAACAACTGGCATTGATAAGGCGCTTACTCCATGGGCTGAGTGTAATATTTACATCATCTCACTGGCTTCTATTATCACTCTAGGAGATAAATACTATTATTCTCCCCATTTCACAGATGAGGAAACTGAGGGGTTAACTCACCTAGAAAACATAGCTGCTAAGCCGCAGAGTTGGGATTTAAATCCAGGCCTTCTGTCCCTACCCAGGCACAGAACTGGGGCTGGACGCACAGTGGGTGCTTAGGTAACTCAAGGACGACCAAGTTGGAAATGCCTGGGACTGCCAAGGGATCCGTCCCCCAAGATATCCCTGGCATCAGCTCAGGGCCACCCTGTGTGGACCTGGCGCAGCTGGAAAAAGATGTGCGTTCACATCTTCTCCCAGGATGCCATCACTCCCACAGTTGTAACAGCCCCCTAACCCACAGACACCACTGTCTGAACCACCTGTGAGGAGGTTCATTATTCTCCCCATTTTACAGAGCAGAGAAAACAAGGCCCAGAGAGGGCATGTGACTTGCTCAAACTACACAGCAGGCATGAGCGGGCCACAGACCTACTTTTACCTCCTGAACCTGCCCTTAGCTGGCAGAGGCCTGGGGTGTATTTGAGGAGTGAGATAAGGTCTGGCCCTCCTCGGCCACTCCCTGGGAAGAGAACTTCCTCTCTCCCTCTTGCTTTTCTAACTCCTAGCTCAAGTGGGACTGAGCCACACAGAAGCTGCATCACAAAGCGAGGACAAGAAGGGCATTCCTGGCAGAGGGAACAGCACAGGAAAAGGAGGTGCAGCTCATAGAACAGTGGGGTAAGAATGTCTAGTAAGGCTGAGGTGGAGAGAGTGAGGGGCTGAGGTAGGAGCGATGAGGCTAGGTCAGGTAACGGGAGCCTTGCATGCCATACTACGGAGTTTGGACTTTCTCCAGGGGCAGTGGGGAGCCACAAAGACTTTAGAGCAGGGGAGGAACATGACCACTAAACAGAGGACCGACTATTGCAGTACACGCCTCCCCTGTTTTTCCTGCTTTTGTCCTGGCTTCTACAGTCCATTTTCCACATGCAGCCAGAGGAATCCTGTGAAAACCCAAGTCAGACCTTGTCCCTCCTCTGCACAGAACCCTCCATGGCTCCCACCTCATGTGGAGAAACAACGATGCACAGGGTCCTGCAAGTCCTGTCCCCACCCGCTCCCTGCCCTCACCACCCCGCTCCCTCTGCTCCAGACACACTGGCCTCTTCCCTGCTGCACCCCACCTCAGGGCCTTTGCACTGAGTGGCTGTTCCCATTGTCTGGAAACCTCTTCCTCCTGATGGTTCCCTCCGTCACCTCTTAGAGATTGTTACCTGCTTAGCGAGGCTGTCACCCACCTATTTAAACCCCCAGCACACCCCGTCTCCTTTTCCCGCTTTATTTCTCTCTGTAGCACTGGTCCTTTCAAATATAATATACAACGTATTTATCTTGTTTATTGTCTGCTCACCCCACAAAAGTGTGAACTCCACAGGGGCAGAGACCTCTGACTGTCTCATGTCTTGCTGTGTCCCCAGCGCCTGACACACAGGAAATGCTCAGTAAATATTTGTTGAATGAATGAATCCTCTGTTCCCTCAGAATAATTTTCTGAGGGTTTAGCTGGAACAGAGCTTATGACCTTTGCTCTGGGGTCCAGATACAGAAGTGACTTGCCCAGGGTCACTCAGCTCACAGGTGGACAGTTGATCTGGCCCCAAAGTCTGTGGTTTTTTTTCTTCTCCATTCTAGGCCACCCCTCTGGGATTTAGGTCCCACATCAACCACATTACCACTTCTGGGGGCTGCTCTCCTTGGCTTCACCTTAAGCTGGAGTCTCAGAGAGATGAAGTGACTTGGCCAAGGCCACAGAGCATCTAAGGGTGTGAATTCAGGTCTTTCTGCCTCTGTGTTTTGAGCATTTTCCACTAAAACAGCTCTGTCTCTCTCCCCTCCTCCTTTCCTCTTTTCAGCCAATGTGTTTGCAGCTGAAATATCAGGCCTGCTGCGTGCAGCCTTGACATCCACCACATCGCGGGCCTAGCCCCGCCTGCCACCCTGGCCCGGCTGCGAGCACAGCGCCTGGTCCCACATGCCTCAGGGATGAGCTACGGAGAGTGTGACCAGGCCCAGCTGACACATCTCAGAGCAGATGTGGGTTGGCCTCCCACGGGTCCAGCCGCCGAGCCAAGTCTCAGCCCACCACCCATCCCCCAGGGCGGGATGCCGGGCCTTGTGGAGCACGGGAAGAGGAGAGCAGTGACCCTGGAGAGTTCACATTAGGCAGAGATTAAGGGGCTCAAGGCTTGAACCAGGGCCAAGGCCTTGGTGGTCACAGAGGGAAAAGAGACAGTTTTTCAGGGCTGAAAACTCAGTGCCACCAGGGGCCAGGCAGGGATTTTAAATGAGTGAAGAGGGCCAGAGTAAGATGATAAATAGTTATTATTCCTTGGCCCCAGATTCAGAGAGACAAGAGGGAGTGGTGGGGACTGGGGCATATGCCCTGTCTAAAGCTGAGTGTGGGCCCTTGAGAATGGGGACCCAATGCAATCAGATCTTCAGATCCTCTGATTTTCCAGTGGGTGCCAGAAACACAGGTTTTTATCTAATATCTACAGATTTTTTAATGTTGGCTCCATTCATTTACAAATTCAGTTTGGACCGAATTTGGCCAACCCAAGGGCCAGATTCAGTCCCTTGGGCCTCCAGTTTGCAACCTCTACTTGGCCAAAGAGAACAGCCAGAGAAGGAACAGATCATAGCCTGATCCTGAGTCAGGATCTGAGGGTTGGGACGGTGGCCAGAACCCAGTGCCAGCAGCTCCGAGGGACTGTGGAAAAGGTTCCTGTCATCTGGTCCCCCTCCTTCATCTCACGGGGTTGAGCCTCCCCACCCGCCCGCCTGCTCCAGCTGGCTGTGGGGTGGAAGGGGGCCTGGGTGGGGACTGAGGTCTCCTTTCCCACATGGGACACAGCTGTGGATGTGTTTTCCAGGCAGATCCCAATTTCTCTCTCCTGTCCAACATGGCCCTGCAACCCCAGGAAGTACGTGACCCTGTGCCCCAGGTCACGCCCCCCCCAAAGCCATGCCCTCAGCAGCCTGTTCACATGCCTGCCTCACCCGCCATGTTCCAAGCCACATGCTTCCACAGCTATCACTTTGAATCTTCACCACATCCTTTTATGACCAATTTTCAGATGAGGAAATTGAGGCTCAGGGAAGGAAAATGACTGGCCCAGGGCCCTACCATGAGTATGCAGAGGAGCTGGACTCAAGCTCAGGCCTCACACGCTGGATAACGGGTGGCCTCACCCCATCTCTTCCTGCTAGAACCCAGCCCATCCTCCAAGGCTCAGCCCCAGTGCTTCCTCCTGGTTTATTTAACAAGCAACCAGGTCCTAGACCAGGTGCTGGGTATTCAGAAATGAACAGACAGGGTTTGTCTCAGGTTCCCCCATAGTGTTTGTTGAATGAATATTTTACTCACTCTCTGGGAATCTCATTTTCCCAAGTCATGGGCCCTGTCCACATCCAATCTGTTTGTCTCAGCCCTGGCACCTCGTTTCTCTGACCACATGTCTGCATGCTTCCCAGATGTCTGCCCCTGCACGGGCCCCCAGGCATCCTTCAAATCAATGCACCCAAAGTGAACTCGGCAATTTCCCCCTAAACTGCTCCTCTGCCCCGGTTTTCCTCCTCGTAGAAGCCCCCACCATCTGCCCAATGGCCAAAGCCAGAAGCCCGAGCATTGTCCATTATACCTCCCCCTCCACACCCTCAACCCAACTGGTCACCAAGGCCAGGGAGGCTTGTCCTCAATGTCCTTCAACTCTGTCTGTTGCTCACATCTTCCTTGGGTGACTACATTCTCCTCCTCACTGTTTGCCCTGCATGGGAACTTCCTCTTTCCCAAATCCAACTTCCCACAGCAGCTGGGTGACATTTACTATTTCCTGCAGCTCTCAGATGTAGCTCCCCGTTACCTTCAGAAGGCAGTTCAAACACCTTGGCCAGCCTTAAAACCCCTGCTCGGTCCAGTGACCTCGCCCCTGTTCCTACACATTCCAGGTAACCTGAACTCCTCTCACTCTTCTAATGTGCTATGTTTTCTCTCATCTCTGAGCCTTTGCAAGGCTGCTCCTTCTGTCTGGAGTGTTCTTCCCTCCCTACCCCCATCTCTTGTCTGACTACTCTACGAACACCCTGCAGGACTCAATTTAGGTGTCATGGGCTTCATAAAGCTTCCCTGACCTCCTAACCCTGGTTTAGGTATCCACTGCGGTCCTACCACCTGCTCTGTGTGAGTCAGATTACAGCCACAGGAACCAGAAACCCCTCCAGTTATTTTATACAGAAAGGATGGAATACAGGGAATAGGGCACTCACAAAATTGCTAGAAAGGCAGGATGGGCTCCAGAATAACAGAGCAGAACTTGCCCGTCAAGGGAGCTGCCACCTCAGCCAGTCAGGATGGTGGGGAACCAGAAGGCCACCACAGGGACTGTTGGCTTTCAGAACACACACCACAGCAGTGATCCAGAGATTAGGAGGCCACTACCACCACTTCTGGACCCCTGAAACTGGTAACCAGGCATGATACGTTGCTACAAAAAAAATGTGGTCATGACCACGTTCATCAGCAGAAAGAGAGCGAAGGCAAAAACCGGATGGCCTCTACTTTCTGAATCTCATGGGAGAGCATGTGATTGGCAGAACTTAAGCAGCATACAGAACCCCATCTGCCGAGGAGACTGGGAAATGTGGCTTGTAGCTTTCCAGTCTCTGCATCCTCTAGCCAGAAGAAGATATTAGCGTAAATGGATGCTGAGTACCAGTGGGTACTGAGTAACGTAAATGGATGCTGAGTACCAAAGGTGAGGTCTCAGGATTCCCCACCACAGCCCCAATCAGCCTGTGTTTACTTATCTGTATTTCCTACCAGACTGTGAGAACTTTAAGGGACACAGCATTGCCTTAGATACCTCTGGTTTGCCAGCATTTATTGAGCACTTACTATGCCTTGGGCACTAGGCTATGTGCTTTACAAACTTGTTTACATATTTGCACCCAGTAGGGTAGAGATTATTACTATCCCTATTTTATACATGAAGAGGAGGCCCAGAGAGATGAAGTAATTTTCCTAAGGTCACCCAGCCAGTAAGTATTAGAGATGAGATTTAAAAATGAAATCTGTTTGACTTTACACTTTAAACACTTGCCATGGGACTTCCCTGGTGGTGCAGTGATTAAGAATCTACCTGCCAATGCAGGGGACACGGACAGGTTCGATCCCTGGTCCAGGGAGATCCCACGTGCCACGGAGCAACTAAGCCCATGCCCAACAACTACTGAGCCTGAGCTTTAGAGCCCACGAGCCACAACTACTGAGCCTGTGTGCCACAACTACTGAAGCCCGCGCGCCTAAAGCCCATGCTCCACAAGAGAAGCCACCACAACGAGAAGCACGCACACCGCAACAAAGAGTAGCTCCTGCTCGCCGCGACTAGAGAAAGCCCAGCCCACGCGCAGCAACGAAGACCCAACGCAGCCATAAATAAATAAATAAAATAATAATAAGCAGTTGCCACTATGAGAGGCAGTTTTGTCTTCTCACAAGGATCTTCTCCCAAGCCTTCAGAAAAGTCACAGTAATGCTGTGCAAAGAACAAATGAATCCACAAGTGACCCCTCCATTGGAATAATGCCTGACCCCATCTCAGCCACCTTCATTCCTCTGGGCCTGGGTTCCTCTCCATGGACAGGCCTTGAGAAATAGAAAGAAACTAACTGTGCTGTGCTGGAACTCTTCACCTAGGGTTGTAGATGGCTGCTAGGCTTAACGGCCACCACTGTCTTAAAACTGGTTACATTTTGTATCTGTGAGGAGTTTTCTGGAGATATGGGTCATAGCTTTCATTAACTTCTCAAGCTCCAAAAATTTGACAGACTGTTACCCCAGGGAGGGATGCAGCAATCTTGCTGCCATCCTGACCTCAGTTCAGACCTTATGACATTGCACGCATTCACTTGTGCATCCATCCATTCACCTACCTATCCATCCACTCCCCATCCACCCATTCATCCATTTTTACTCCCACCCATCCACTCATCCATCCACTCATCCATCTACCCATCCATCCATTCATCCATCCATCCACCCACTGACCCATCCATCCACCTACTTTCTCATTTATCCATCCATCCATGCAATCATTTATCAATCTGCCCATCCATTCATTCATTAAATCACTATCTATCAATCCATCTATTCATTTATCCTTTTATGTGTTTATTCATCTAGCCATCTATTAATTTGTCCATCATTTCATTTATTATTTATTTACTCATTTAATTATATGTTTATCTATTCATTCATCCATCAGTAATTCACAGTATTCAACCATGAAATCATCTATACCACACATCTCATAATTTATCATCCATTATCCATTTATTTATTCAACCATCCATCCATCATCCATCTATGCATTTATCCACTAATTTCTTTATTCATCCATCCATCTATCCATCCTTCCATTAAGTCAGTTCTTCATCATTTCACTCATTGATTCATCTATTCTTTCATTTATCTATCTCTTCATCCATCCACAAACAGCTCCCTCATCCATCCACCCATGTACCCAGCCATAAATCATCCCGTCGACCATCCACCCATCCATCAAAACATCACTCATCCTTCCACACATTAAATTCTCCATCCACTCACTCTGCTCCCTGTACCAAAACCAAGAGGTGAATCAGAACTGGTCCCTCCCTTGAGAAGCTCACAGTCTAGTGACAGGAACAGATAGTTAAAACTCAAGGTGGAGAATATTAGGAGGTTAAAGTGAGCTCCAGGCAGGTGCCTTCACAGGAGGGGACTTGGGTCCATCTGGGGATTCAGAGAAAGTTCCTTGGAAGAGGTGGCATCTAAACCAGGATTCATAAAGACAGGAAATCGGTGAACAAGCTCCCTTAGATATCTCAGAGGGTGACTTACAGAACACCCACCCACCTAGATGCTCACTGAGCTTGTTAGGACTTTAAAGGCTCTGAGAAGTCCTGCAACAAATGTTAACATTGTTAACCACAGTAATTCTCAAATTCATTGGACCATAGAACCCTTTTCCCTACTTTACTCTTATTAATATCCCAGAGAACCTGTGTCCCTTAGAACCTCATTTGGGAAATGCTAGTCTGGTCCAAACTCCTTGTTTCCACAAACAAGGTTTCAAAAAACAGTCTCTGTCCTCAAAATTTTCCATCACGAGATAAGATGAAATGCACAATATATGCCTAGGACTTTATTTTTTTCATCCCTAAAGCTGAGCACAGTGCCTGGCACACAGTAGGTGTTCAATAAGCATTTGTGAAAAGAATGTTGTTATTGAAAGAGTCGCTCCAAAATGACCCCTGGTTCTTATGCTGTCCCCATTCCCAGTGACCCCTTTATGACCTCAGCCAGCTCCACAACTCCCAGACTCAGTTTTTCAGTCTGAGAAATGGCCAGTAAAATCATCTCCGTAGAACTGATGCAGGAAGCACGTGCTTACGCTCAGTTTTCGTTACAGGCGCTGTCTCGGGATGTAGCTCTGACCACCCCGCCACTTTCTCACACTGGCAAGTTGAGTTTCCAGCCAGGAATGAGACCTTTGGGCCTTGTTGATCCTTCACGGCTGAGGCTGGAACATACATGGAAACCACCTGAGTAATCCTATGGCGACCCTGCCCAGCCTGATGGGGCATGAACTGGAAATTCCCTATAACATTGCTAATTAAATGATTCCTCCTGCCTTCTTCTCCTTTTACCCTGGCCTCCCGCTCTCCCTTACTCAGCTCCCTAAGCGCCTCCAGAAACCTCTGCAAAGGAGTCAGACTGGTTTGGGGAGGGCTGAGCAGCTACCTCCCCTTCCAAACGCCCACCTGCCCGCCCACTGCCTGGAGCCCAGGCCATGCGACCTGCCGGGAACTGTGTGCTGTGCAGCTCTAGAACACAGAGCCTGATACCCACATCAGATAAAGGGGCCACTAAGTTCCTTCTCGACCCAAGCCCAACCCTTGTGCAATTCAGATCTTTGTCCCATAGAGACAGTCACAGGGATGAGCAGATGTGCTTATCTGATGGGGCCACAAGGCCTCCAGTTCATTCCAGGGGCTGTTTTCTCAGTCAGTCTTTGGACTCTTCTCTTCCATGCAACTGTGCACGCTCTTCCCCTACTTGGGCACGTCCTCATCCTCCTTCCAGTCGTTCAACATTTATTAGGCACTTCCTGTGTGCCCAGCCCTGTGCTGGGTGCTGGGGACATAAACAAGACAAAGTCCTTGCCCCGTGGAATTCACAGTCTGATGGGGAGGGGGGCAGATACCTAAAAAAATAATGGTCACGATAACATGGTTGAATCTCAAATCATTATGCTGAGGGAAAGGACCTAACGAAGAAGAATACAGTATATGATTCCACTTACAGAAAATGCTGGAGAACACAGACTAATCTACAGCAACAGAAAGCTGATTGGCAGTTACCTGGCCATGGGAGTGGCGGGGGGTTGGGGGGTCGCGAGGAGGATGGATGACAAAAGGACATAAGGAAACCTTTGTGGGTGGTAGATATGTTTACCATCTTGGTTGTGATGGTGGCTTCATGAGTGCAAACACATGTCAAAACTCATCTACGTGGACCCTGGAAGATGTGCCATTTATTGCATGTCTGTTAAACCTCAATAAAGCTGCTTAAAAAGATAGTTTGTGAGGCAGTGTGACCAGTGCAGCAATGGGGAGACTCAGGAGGGCCATGGGAGAAGGGCTGGGAGGGTAGTCAGGGAAGGCTTCTTGAAGAAGGGGACTGTGGGGCAAAGTTTTGAAGATGAAAGTGAGTCCCATCAAGAAAGAAGAAAAGAGAGTGGTATTAAGTTCCAGATGGCCTGAGTTCAAATCCTGACTCCCCTGCTTACAGGCTATGTGGCTTTTGGCAAGAGATTCGACTCATCAGACTCAGTTTTCTCATCTGTAAAATCGATCCCACAACAGTATTTATCTCATAGGGCTGGTGGGAGATGTAAATTACGGAAAGCACTTGGCCTGGCATCCATTGGTCACAGCTTCTACAAAAGCCCTGAGGCAGGAAGGGACAGTGACCTGAATGACAGTGAGGAAGTCCAAGTGGCTTCATCGAGAGAGGGAGGGAGAGGCCTCAGGGGCCAGGGCCGCAGGATGTCTAGGCCATGGTGAGGGTTGGAGCTGTCTCCTGAAGACTGGGGAGCCAAGGAAGGGATGGAAGCAAGGGAGTTTCATCATCAAGCCTATCCTCTTACCAAAGTCACTCTGATTATTAAAAAAAAAAAAAATTACAGTTGGAAAACTGAGGCTTAAACAGAGAAAGATTCCGCCAAGTTCCTGTGGAATCACAGTGCTCAAAGGGAAGTGGTCTCTCATTCATCCAAACTCCTATAAGCAGATGAAGAACTGTTATCTGGGTCTTCTTGTATGCCTCCAGTGATGGGGAGCTCACTACCTAAACTGTTGTGCAGTTCTTAGTTCTTCAGTTCTTGTGCAGTTCTTAGCTCAACTAAGAGAGGCCTCCAAAATTGGCCCTGGCTTTTCCCTCTGGTGCTTCCCAGACACCAGCTCCTCTGGCCAGAGTCACACTGAGAGGAGCCCAGTAGACAGGAGAGGAAGTGGGAAGAGATAGGAGTTATGACAGAGACTTCCTGGGTGCTGTCACCAGCTCCCTGCCACAAGGTCCTAGGACGTACCCTTTCCTTCTCTGGGCCTCAGTTTCTGTAAATGGAGATGCTCATTGCTCCACAGTCTCCTTCCAGCTCTTAGAAATAGATTTGGCCCTGCACAGGTGCCTGGAGGGGGCTGGAGCAGGCACAGGGGGTTCACCAGTCCCGCCCATCCACTCCCATCTGGGGAGCCAGGGTCAACCTCGAGGCAGGCAGGCCAAGCAGGCCTGTCTGGGGATAAAGGCAGGTGCCCCAGGGTGCAGCCAGCTTAATAACATATTCTGGATCCAGGGGGTTTGAACCCAGGAGAATAGGTCCAGACACAAATTGAGCAGCCCCTGTTCCTGTCTGTAGCTCTGAAAGCTGATGGTTCCCACATCCACACCCACAAGTGGGCTTGGCCCCCACTCTCTTCAAACCCATTCACCCTGAGGGTGCCCCCTTCTGTGTGCTTACTGTATGCCAAGCTTCTCACTGTACTCAGAATAAGATCCACACTCCTGACACTGGCCCTGCCCACACCTGACCTCTCCTCCTACCCCCTCTCCTCAATCAATTCTGTACCCAGGGCCTTCCTGATGCTCCACAAACATGCCAAGCTGGTGCTGCCTCAGGGCCTTTGCACTGGCCGTTCCTCCTGCCCAGAACTCTCTTCCTCCAGATCTTGCCATGGCGGCTCATCCTCAGGCCTCAGCTCCAAGGTCACCTTCTCTGGCAGTCCTTCCCTGACCCCATCCTGTGGCTCACCCTCACCATCCTGCCTTATCTTCCTCCACCAAAGGCTTCATTGGGATGTCTTATCCCCCCGGTGTGGCGTCTGCCTCTCTGGATTTGAAGCCTTAGATGGCAGAGCCTACAACTGGCCCAGTGCTAGGTCTGATGTCACCAGGCCCAGGCTGGGCACAGCCTGGCACCCACCTCTCAGTGTAGGTTAAATGAACAAGTGAACCAGGCGTTGGGGATTCTGAGCCCACTCGGGGCGGCCCGTGCCCCTTCTCACCTTCACAGGGGCTGCAAGGATGCCTACACCAGACTCACCGTGTCCCTGTACACACCTGCACATGTGTGCGTGCATACACACACACACACACCACCACCACCACCAGCACCCCAGCACCCCCTGCCTCCATACCAGCCCTTGGCACCCAAACTTCTCAACTTTCCTTCCTTTCTCCAGGCTCCAGCTGGCCCCGCGCCAGCTCTTCTCCCCCGACCTGCCTGCCTGCCCTGGCCACCAGATTCATAAAGGATGAGGAAGGGCCTGGGGTGGGCTGGCTGGGTGCCATGGGAACACAGCCCCTGGGGCCCTCGCCTCCCCCTGAGCTGCCAGACACCTGCATAATGAGTGTCATTACTGGGGACCCACCGGGCAGGCCCTGGCTTGACCCAGCCACCCAGGCTGTGAACAATGCTGGGGATGGGGTTTGGGGAACATGGCGGGGTGAGGGGTGGGGGGGAGTGCCTCTGTTCCTCCCGGCCCCAAAGCTCAGCCCTGGATTTCTGGATCAGTAAAGACAGCCTCCCATCTCCCACACAGACTTCCAAACCTCAGGTTCCTATCATAGCCCATGCTCAGCTCAGAAGGAGACAAAGGAGGAAAAACACTTACTGAGTAACTACTGTGTGCCCACTTGGTGCTGGTATTGTCACTTCCCACCGTAGACACCATCTCATCCATTCACCCATCATCTGACTGCTTACTGTCTATCTCCCCCACTTGAGTACAAAACATGGAGAACATTTATGGAGCGCCTACTATGTACCTGTGCTAAACACATGTATTAACGCGTATGTTCTTAAACAGCCCTATGAGGTGGGTGCTATAATTATTCCGTTTACAGATAAGGCTCAGAGAGGTAAGGCAGCTCGCCCAAAGCCATGCGGTTGCTAAGTGGTGGGCCGTCTGGCTCAGAGTACATGTTCTTAATTGCTTGCTACTCCACAGCACCTCTTCCATCAGAGCAGGAGGTTCTGTCAATGCTGTGTTGCCCTCAGTGCCCAGTCTAGTGCCTGGCATGTAGTAGGTGCTCAAAAAACAGTGAATGAGTGACTGAAAGAATAATCTCACTGAGTTCCGACGGTATCCTTCCAGGTGCTATTTATAGATGAGAAAACCAAGGCTCAGAGAGGTAAAGTGACTTGCCGCAGGCCACACAGTGAAGACACCCCAGAACTGAGATTTGAACCTCACGTGTCTTTTGTAAAAGTCGGGATGGGAGCTCATGCCCCTCTGCCCTCCTGCCCCCTTGTGGCCCTGACCCCTCTCTAGGCTGCCCCCACCTCTGGACCATGGGGCCAGGAGGGAGAATGTGTGTCTGCCTTGGTGTCCCTAGGGTCCAGCCTGGGCCTGGCACATAGAAGGTCTTCAGATTGAAATTGCAGCTTCTCCCCTTGGCTCCAAGGCCTTCCAGGATCAGGATCCTGACAACATCACCCCGTCACCTCTCCCCTCTCCTAACTCCTGAGCAATGATGAATTTCCCAAACACAGCCTACTCTCCCTTACCTCTGGGCTTCCCTACACGCTGTTCCCTCTACCAGGAGCACTATTCCAGAAACTCTGCCCCAACCTCAGCTTAGAGGGCACCTCCTCTGCCAGGAAGCTCACAGCTCTTAGGGCTTTGCAAGTGCTCCCACTCTGCTGACCCATGGGCCATCTACTCCTCAGCCCATGTTCTGACTTCCCTCTTCTTAGGGCGAGGAGCCCTGAACTGGCTGTCCAACCACCTCGGTTTCATCCACACCTTGCCACTGACCTTCTGAGTGAACTCGACCTAGGCCCTTGTTAGTTCATCTGTCAGATGGGTAGAAAATTTGAAGTGAAAGTGGTAAGTGAAGGCTTGCTGTCCATCAAATTGGGTCATGTCAGTCCCTTCCCCACACAAATCCCACCAGTGGCACTCAACCCACAACTCCCTGCGTGATCTGACCCCCGCCAAGCTCTCCAACATCACCTCCTTTCCCTTCCTTCACTCCCCTCCAGCCACCTGGCCTCCTTGCCTTTCCTGGAACATTCCAAGCCCCAACCCACCCCAGGGCCTTTGCCCTTGCTGTTACCCCTGTTGGAAATCTCTTCCCCCAGGG